AAAAAAAATTTGGTGAAAATAAGAGTTGGTTTTTCAAGAAGATAAACAAAATAGACAAGCCTCTAGCTAGACTAACAAAAGAGAAAAAACATTACTGAAGTATCACAAATGAGATGAAAAGTCACCACAGATAGCACAAAAATACCAAGGATCATAAGAGGTTACTGTGAACAACTACGTGTATGGGGGAGGAGGGTAAGAGGTTTCACCAGAGACTTCGTGGGCAGCAGAACAGGCAGATTCACCAAAATACACTGCTAAGGGAATAGCGGGAGAGACAGGAGAGGTCTGCTGTGCCATGTGGATCACCTCCCTGGCTGGGGGTCAAACTCAAGCTACAGTGGCTGGCAATAGCTTGATAGTGCTGAGACTTTAACCCCTGCACCACAAGAAAGCCTCCCTACCCAAATTCTTTAAGTAATTAATGAGAGGTATAAGTTTTCTTGATCCTGCTGGGTTATAATTGTCTGCTTCAAGATAATGCACGTGTGAAATGTTATTTGTGATGATGAAAAACTGAGACAAGCTGAGGCAATCACTCGGAGAATGGAAGTAAAATCAGGTGGTAAGTACAATATGTGTGAAGCTATGAATTAGAAGTATATGTACCAACCTGGATGGTAAAATAATGATGAGTGAAAAGAAACTGAGATTGAAGATAAGAGAAATACCCAAGTATAGTTTTTTTAAAATACAGTAAACTAAATAAAATGCTTTATGATCCTAAGAAGAAAATGAGGGCAGGATAAGTGAGTTAAAAAGAAAACAAAATGCAAGAACAAAAAATAGAAATAACTTGTTTTTATTGGGACAACCTGGATTTACATCTCTACATGTTTTAAAAATACAGGCTCACCATTTGTTCATATGTATGTCATCACACCACACTTAACACCAACATACCAGTAACTTTCTACACAGTCCTTAGGGCCCCCTCCATCTTTTGATTCTACTCATGCACTTTCCCATCTCTGATAACCTTAGTTGGGTAGTCAGAAGCCAAGGGTTTGCTTTGTCTGTTACTTTGTTTCTCTATATTCCACATAATGAGTGAAATCATCTGTATTTTCTCCTCATTTCACTTGGTATAATCCCCTCAAGTAGTTCTATGTTGTTACAAATGGCAAGATTTTATCTTTTTTTGATAGCTGAGTATATTTCATTGTGTAGATCGTCCAGTTTCTTTATCCACACATCTGCTGACCGGCACTTAGTATCTTGACTATTGTGTACAGGCTCCAGTGAGCAGAGGGGTGCATATGTTTTTGAATTAGTTTTTCCTTTCTTCAGATAAATACCCAGAGATAAAATGGCTGGATATTATGGTAGATCTATTTTGAATTTTTGAGGACCTACCATTCCACTTTTCATTCACCTGGGCCAATTTACCTTCGATGGAGTGTACAAGCATCCCTTCTTTCCCACCCTGGCTAATACCTGCTGTTTCTGGTCTTTTCGACATGTATGGAAAGTGATATCTCATTGTGGTTTTGATTTTCATTTCCGTAATTACATGATGATGAGTATGTTCTCATGTACTTTTTAGCCATCTTTATGTCTTAAGTGATTTTTTTAAATTCTATTTTGTTCCTAAATAAGGTTTAATTGAGTTGTATTGAACATCAGAGAGATGAGGAAACTAATATTCTATAGAGTAACTATTTTGTTTTCCCAATTTATATAGGGTTGAAGCTTTGAGAGAAGCAGCAACTGCTGTTGAGCAAGAGAAAGAAATCCTCCTGGAAATGATCCACAGTATCCAAAATAGCCAGGACATGAGGCAGATCAGTGACGGTGAGAGGCATTTTAACAGAAGGGGGCTCTTTTATACTCTTTTAGGGGGGTTATAAGTGCTTGACTTGTGGTATGAATACCCAAGGCTTCTGCATTTAATCTGAGCAACAGACATCAGCTGCAGCTGTCAGTTTATTACAAAAGTCACTTTACCCAGAGAGCTCTTCCAGCTACTCCCTACTCCAAGATCATGGAGGAAGTGATTTTTAAAAAAAGCCTTGCAAGCTCAAGAACAGCTGACATCAAACAGGAAGGCCATGAGTTTGATCTCATGTCTGTACTCCTAATTACAGTCCTCTAGAAGTTACTGGATTATAGGAGATATAAAAGTAGAGGAAAAACACGAGAGATTGGATGCAGAGAAGACAAGATGACTTGAACAGTGAGAATAGAGCAAATTATAAAACTTCTAAACCCCATTAATGTAAAAATGTGCTATCATTTTCACAGGAAAAGCATAACTATCTTGGAGGAAAAGGTCACTTCTGATTTTCTGCACTGGTACTGAGCTTTCTAATTTGGCTCTTTGGTGCTTTATAGAGCAAGCCAGTGTGCCAGGTAGCTAAGTGTGCAGGCAAACTCCAGACCAAAACTCTTATCTGTCCATAACAAGATAATGATTTAGTCATTTTCTTCACCATCTTGGCCAGAGATCAGTGAATTGGGAAGAAAGATACGTAACAGTATAAACAGAAGATTGCTGACTTTTAAATAAAAACAATGAAATACTAACAGTCCTCCTTTCCTTCATTGCTTACAGAGTGCAGCTTGAAACAGCAGTCAGTATTCATCGATGCGTCTCTGCCAATATTGGGGCGCTATTATTCTAATAAAAATGCAGAACATGGCACTCCAAAATATACTTCTTTGGCATAAGGATTATTCTGGGCTGATTATTTTTCAAACATTGCAGACATGGGAGAAGCTCTGAAAACACAGCTCAGATTAATACATTAATAACTGAGTCTACATTTGCAGTTCCCTCTAGAATCACAAGGACTCTTCAGTGGAGAAGGCATGGACTTAAAATTTGCACGACAATCTTTATATCCTTGTTTACTAAGCTTTCTTAGTAACTCTCCATAACCGGCCTCCCCTCTCCTAACACTTTTCATTTGTTTTTGACTGAAGATGACATTTAAAGTGGCTTGTGCCATCTCAGAGAGTTACTGTTTCTTTGGGTATCTCCCATGTTAATAAACTTTTTTTTTTCTTTTGTTAATCTGTCTTCTATTATAGGAGGTCTCAGTCAACAACTCGGTATTAAAGAGAAACTAACTTTCCTCCTCTTCATGTACACCCTTATCAAAAGGTCCAAGATACCTGATCTTTGCAGCTCAGTGATCAGCAGTCAAGCCTAATGATGCTCTTTGTTCATTCTGTGCTGTAATTTGATCTCTATTCATGTTCAAATGCATACCAAACTTTTGCAAACATGCCAACTTGAAAAGGCTTATGGTATCCCATATATAAAGCCTTCTCTCTGTAATGATACTCATCAGTTAATCTAATGTGTTAACAGTATTAACTTTTACCTTTAAAAAATTCGTATCAGAGTTGCTTATGGAAAAGACATAGCCACAAATGAATGCCGTGTGCTCGACATGGATAAAGTTGATGTCTCATATTAACTGATATTTCAAACTTTATGTTTAGGAGAAAGAGAAGAATTAAATCTGACAGCAAACCGACTGATGGGACGAACCCTCACTGTTGAAGTTTCAGTAGAAACAATTAGAAACCCCCAACAGCAAGAATCCCTAAAGCATGCCACCAGGATAATTGATGAGGTGGTCAGTAAGTTTCTGGATGATTTGGAAAATGCTAAGAGTCATTTAATGTCTCTGTATAGTGCATGTTCTTCTGAGGTGCCACCTGGGCCAGTTGATCAGAAGTTTCAATCCATAGTCATTGGCTGTGCTCTTGAAGATCAGAAGAAAATTAAGAGAAGATTAGAGACTCTGCTTAGAAATATTGAAAACTCTGACAAGGCCATTAAGCTGTTAGAGCATTCTAAAGGAGCTGGTTCCAAAACTCTACAACAAAATGCTGAAAGCAGACTTAATTAATGTTCAAAATTAAGAACATTTACAAATGACATAAAAATGATTAAACATTTTAAATAATAACTAGGTCTTTGTTAGGGACAATCACTCATTTGATACTGAAAGTTGATTCAGATATGGAAAATACTTGAGATCAATTTTGTGACTAATACAGTTCAAATTAGAAATATTTTAATTACCTTTCTAGAAGTTTTTAGATTGAATTCTTGTCTTGTACTAGGATCTAGCACCTAATATATCTATTTTTTTACTATTCTGTGGGTACGTAGTATATGGGGGCGGGTAAGTGTTCACCTAGGGGTAGAAGCATCACTGTTCCATCCTGGACTTTGTCTGGCATGGAGACGCATGGGCATGGGGCATTTAGTGAACTAGAAATTCTTTACCTTAAGCAGCACATATACACATACACATCTACTGTTAGTTAACCAGGTAGTGTGCTTAGTGTTAAAAAAGAATCACAAAATAAGAAATCTTTCTTTGTTTCTCTTTCATTCAGCATTTTTTAGGCACCAATTTCAAATTATTTTGAAATCTGAGACTTACACATCTTGTCATATGAAATGTATTTCTTGATATACATGAAAACGTGACATAAAATGTGAGAAAATCCTGTCTAGTTTTATGTCCATTTCATGTCCAAGTACATCATATCTTTAAAATTTTAATCAGAAAGAATGTTGTAACTTGCCTTTTAAAAACTGCTGCTATAAGATCTGCTTAATAGTTAACCTCAACTCAATTCTATTGTGTCATAGATTACTTATCCACTTCCTTTCCTGGATATTCAGGTTGTCTCCATTTTGTTGTTATTGCAACATATTTATGTACAAAGATTTTTTTCCTTCATTCTTTTGTTTTTTATTTGCTTTGTATAAATTCCCAGCAGTGGAATTCATGAGGTTAAAGGGTATCTACATTTTCACGGCCTGACAATTTTTCACAATTTTTTCTGTAAGTTACATTGATTTATACTTCTTCCTTAATTAAAATGTAGCTATTTCACTAAAAGCTTTCCAGCATTTTCATCTAACATTAGCTATGAAACATAGTTTTCTTTTTGTTTACTCACAAGGTTGACCATAATACTGATTATACATTGTGATAAATGAAGTAACATAGAATACTTTTGTTTTTCAAAGTCACACTCCAGATTGGTTTTATGTATTTATATCTTTCAGTGCAAACAATACAGAGTTTCATTTTCTGTAAAAAAAAAAACTGCCAAATTAGTGTTGCTTCATAAAAAGCAATTACAATCTTAGCACATTCAAGTTAGCTTTGATTACCAGCCCTAAGTCTGCCTCATTTAAATCTTTCCATTTCATAAGAAACACAAATTCTCATTGGTAGTAGCTATGGCAAAGCCTCTGGATTTGTCAGCAGACTCTAGTTTGCTATCAGGTTCAATGTCAGATAAAGATTCCCTTTTGTGCTTTTTTATCAGCTTTTTGAAAATTAAGAAACTGACAATCAAGTTTTCCTCAATTGCTCAAGTAAAGTGTTGGCATATGTAAATCCTTTTCACACTGGAAAATACTCCCTTGTCAGTACAGGATGATTTCTGCCACATAATATCCGGCTTTACCTCCCCAAACTCTGTATTCTTTGTTTCCCATTTTTTACACTGGCATTTTATTGGAGCCCCATCCTTGTCACAGATTTGAAGAGCTATGACTTGGCATCTCTAAGCTGCTTTAGCCCCTGGTCTGCAGACCTCTATCTCCAGCTTGAGTCACATTCAAGGAGGCAGGGATGTTCACCATATTGGTAAAGTATGTTTTTATTTATTAGAGTGGAATCTATTCTTATAAAATTCCCCAAAGTCCATTTTTATTTTTATATGTAAAAATTATCTTTTATAGAAATAACAGGTTTGACTGTAAATTCATTTAAAATATCTTGCTTAGATTGGTATATTCCCTGTCAGTCCTATCCTAACTCCATACTATTCCTAGGATGTGACATAGAATTTTAGGCAGCCCTTCTCCATTCCTCATGATGCTGCTTCTCAGCAGTGTTCCTATCCCCACCTGACTCTTAGGAAGGGATGGTATAGTCAGCAGGACCTGCAGAATTGATGAAAGATTGCTCACAATTCATCAACTGAATAGGGGCAATGCTGTCTAGTTAAAAAGACAAATGCAGAATTGACTCTCCTCGTATTTTAGTTTTGGAATCCCTGGCATTAAAAGAAATAATAAAAAATAAAACCCTCAAGCTTTAAGCTGTATGGCAAAGGGTGTTCTACTAGTAATGAATATACGAATATACACTGGTGTCTTCCAGCTGTGCGCTCCTCCCAGTACTAATGTTGCAACCTCTAGAGGGCACCATTCACCCTGTCTTCTATATGAATGTCATTAGCCAAGTGTGCTCTCAAGCAGAGAGAGGGACTAAGTACAGGCCAGTCCTTTTTATCGATGGAGTTCAGTCTATCACCCTAACTCAAAATGTTTAGAATGCCTCCTAAAGAGATGATCACTAACTGGATAACTTTGTTTTGACATTTTAAAATAGAAAGCATGCAAGAATTTAACCACTGAAGGTAATAGTAAGGATCTTGTTGCGTTACATGCAACTAACATTCATGCACTTAGTCCTTTTTAAATGATCTGTTGTGGGAAATGCTGACCCATTTGGAGTTCATAAATTCAATAATGCTATTTTTAAGTACTCGATGACAAAACTGAAAGAATTCAGAATCATGGGAAAGGCAGGAAAAAAAGCAGCTAGCTTGAACTTAACAGTCTCTATTTTTATGTATCTACTCATACAACAGCAAGTAAAATGAAATTTAATTCTGCTTAGGGACACATTCTTCAAGTTCTCAAAAAAGGAGTAAATAACTTTGGATCACAAAAATCTTTATTTACCGCCCACCTCAGCAAACACGCTTACTTTGTGTATGTGTACCTATCTATAGTAGATAGAGGTGACCAGTATAGGGTAAATTAGATACTGTTTGTGCAAGAATTTGATGAAGCATGTCAGAAACAATTAAAAAATCTGGCATTGGAAAACGAATCTACCGTTTAAATCCATGGTTACTGTAAATACACTTTCACATGCCATCATGGGCCCTTAGGTTTGAAAATGAACAAGCCCTGGGACAAAACACAGATCACACACAGGTACATACTTCTGGCTTGAATCTTTGCTGAAGACCTAACAGGAGCATGCAATCCCGTCTCTTAGCCAGCAGGGGGACTCCCTTAACCCCCAGCTGTGAAAATCAAGCGATGATGCTTTTTTGAGGATGAAACAGAACATGTAAGGCAAACACACACTGTACTGTCTGAGACTCCTTCCAGCCACCAGCACCCCAGCACCGTGCCCCAGTCTAACTGGCAAGAGAGCAAAGCCACCTGTATGGGCTTAAAGTGAGAGTGGTTTGATCCTGTTCTGTGAAGTTGTGCAGGAATCTGGTGCCTATGGGAAAACTTTACTGTTACTACAGATCAGGGAGCCAGCTAAAGATTTAAATGGTGAGTACCTAGCCTTTGTGCCTCCATAGTGTTTTTTAAAAGCCAGGAAAATGATTACACTTTATCACTGGTCCTCTGCACAAAATGGCATTGAAATTTCTTTAAGTCAGGATAACTCAGGAAATAAAAAAATCTAAACCTATAGACAAAACCCAGAAGTCCCTGTTAGTGATTATATTTTTCAAATCAACCCTTTACTGTTTATTTCTTCTTCTGTATGTATGTGCTACTCCATATATAAAATATATAAAATATATAAAATGAGCTCAAACTTAAAGGTTGTTGTTGGAGCAGTTCTCATAGATTAAAATCAGTTTCCTAGGCTTGAAGACCTGTTTTAGTCAATGTTAGCATGGTGGCTGACATAAGAAAAAAAAAAAAACCTGTTGAACTATGTAATTATTTTGTACCACAGGACAAAGTATGTGTATTCTTTTAGGAGTGGGAACCTAAAACCTCAGAACAAGATAAAACAACTATTCTTTTAAACACACTGATAGGGGGCTCTCTGGTGGCACAGGGTGAGGGCTATCATGAGCCACTGAGGCATGAGTTTGATCCCTGGCCAAGAAGCTGACCCACATGGTGCAGCAGACCTCTCCTGTCTTACCCGCTGGTCTCCTCATCAGTGTATTTCAGTAGATCCACCTGTTCTCCCCACTCTGTCTCTGGTGAATCTTCTCACTTCCCATACCTCTGGTCTACACCCCAGCTCTTGTATGCATAAATAAATCTTTTTTTAAAAAACCCACCAGACTGGTAATGACAGAATTATAAAAGATGCTTAATTTTTTTTTAAGATTTATTTATTTATTTATACAGAGCTGGGGTACAGGCCAGCAATGCGAAGGGTGAGAGGATTCACCAGAGACAGAGCGGGGAGCAGAACAGGCAGATCAATGCAGTACACTGCTGAGGGGAGCAGCGGGCGGGTCAGGAGAGGTCTGCCACGCCATGTGGACACCCCCAAGGCAAGGCAGAATCGAACTCATGCGGAAGTGGCCTTAGCTTCTTAGTGCAGCGCTTTAACCCACTGCGCCACCAAGGAGGGCCCTAAGATACTTAATTTTTAAGGCAAAATTACTTAACCCCATACTGTTAAGTTTCATTAAATATTCACTATCAGTAAAATAAGGATGCTAAATATTGTAAAGTATCTAAAATATGAAATAGTTTTAATTTTTAGAGAAGTCACATTGTACCTTTTTTTTTTTTTTTAATTTTATTTGTACATACAGAACTGGGGTATAGGCCAGAGGCTCAGGAGTGGTGAGAGGCTTCACCAGAGACAGAGTGGGGAGCAGAACAGGCAGATTGACGAAGTACACTGCTGAGGGGAGCAGCGGGCAGGTCAGGAGAGGTCTGCCTCGCCATGTGGTCACCTCCGGGGCAGGGATCGAACTCTTGCGGAAGTGGCTTAAGCTTCTCGGTGCAATGCTTTAACCCGCTGGCCACCAGGGAGGGCCACACATTGTACCTTTTACTTTTTGGTTCCATACTTATATTATCACACAAACTTTAACTTTGAAATGCATTTATTTTTTGATTATTGAAATTCATCTTTCATGAATTTTTTTATTGAGTAGTACAAATTAAGCTTGAGGGCATAACCACAACTCATTGGCAATACATACAAATGGTTTCCTGTTCAAATTTATGAAAGTAGTATTTAATAGTAACAAAATATAGAAGGGGTTCTGGTTTCCTTTTAGTCCAAAGATTTTATTTTTAAATCCAATCAATTAAACACTTATAAACATCCCTCACCAGATATTTCAAGAGAGGGAAGAAAAGTAGCACTACCTACTAAATGTTATTATAGCCATATCAGCTGGTGACCCACAAGTTAGACGAGTGAGTATTTCAGTGCCACTGTAGAGTTGAACATTTTTGTTAGCAAGTAAACTCATTAATTATATAGGTTTTAAGTGTTTCAGGGTAAAAATCCAAAGAGTGACAGTAGTATGTACGGTATTTATAAGTAATAGTTAAAACGAGTAAGTCATTAGATAACTGCAGTATGGGAAATTTTTTCATCCGTCAGTTCATTTTGTTATCGGAAAAAGATATCCCAATGATACAGTAATGGGAGCATTTCATGAGGTTATCAGTGACTCTTCCAAAGGTTTTTTAAAAGGACACTAACAAACTAGCAATATTTTATGCTAAATTAATTCATTTTAAGCTGTGAGGCCACTTTAGTGAGGCCACTCCCTCATTCTAAGCTCTTCCAAAAATATCCCAGACCCTAAAAAATTATAGGTCTGATGGAGAACATTAATGAGTGTTCTTTCTAAGCAATGTATAGCCAACTTCTAAAACAACCATGGGATTTCATTCCACATTGAGGAAAGGTGTTTATTCTCTTTTTGGTAGTGTTAGTTTTACTTTGGGGGAAAAAAAAACTACATGTGTGCTATGAAATATCAGGTTGGGTAGATAAAAAGGAAACTATTTAGGCCTAATTTTATTTAACGATATTGCCCTATATGAGCTATTCTATAAACCATTCAACTGGATAGGCAAGACTGAAAGAAGAAAGGAAACCTGAGGAACTCTGAAATATGGCAATTATTCCACAACTGTGTGTTGTATGCTAAAAATCAGATATTGTGTAAAAATTGTACATCAGAGCACATGTAAACAATACTCAGATCTTACACAAGTTTATCTTAGCATACAAGGTTCATCAATAGTAATGTTTTTTAAGGGAACCAAGGCTTAAAGGAGAAAAATTTAATGTCAATTTTGAAGGTTTGAAATTAGCTGAGGGTATTTAACATAAAACGTGAATGATTTTCAGGCTTAATTATTTTAAATTACTAATTATAATTACATTTAAAATACAGAAATACAAATTAAAATTCAAATGTGTAACAAAATCACTCTTCAGGTCTTACAAAGAAATTAGGACATAATTAAGTACATAAAGTTATATTACAAATATCAGGGAAGTTGCAAACATCATTCAGAGGTTACATTTTTTTTTATCTAGAAAAGTAACAAACTCACTCATACCATTTAATTAATATGAAATAGAACTGCAACATATTACATACTGTGATTTTCTCCCACCACTAAAGTCCTTAAGACAATTTGCCACAAAACATATTTTGCGCAAAAATTAAAGAGACTATATTTCAAAAAATAAAAAAAAGATGATTCACTAGCAAATACTCATTTGTTAGGAGCTGAGCTTTTCCCCCAACACATATCCCACTGCCAGCAATGGGAGTGGCGACAGAAAAATAGACATTTTATATGACTTTGAAATAGCTGATTCCAGATTATGCAGTATTATGAAAAGCAAATGTCACTCTTGACCACATAACAAGAACACACCCTGGAAATTCTATTGTGTTCTCATTGTTAGTATGGACAGGGAGGTAAGGGTGGCGCAGATGGAAGTCTTAAAAAATATATAAAAGAAACACAAAACATGCATTTAGTACAGATAATGAAAAATGACTATGACACATTTTCCAAGAAGAGTTATTTTAACATTATTTTGAAAATCTGTAAAAACTAGGTATATTGAAAAGGGTTAAAAATAAAGTCACTGATGGATGATGACCAGTTTTAACAGTTCATACAGTATCTTAGCTGGAAAGCTACTGACCCAAATCACATTTATGCTCTGTCACATGACTGACTACTTACTAAAGTCTTTTAATAAATTCTTTTTGTATTTGGTGCTGACAGAGCTCTCGAGAAGGTGCTCTATAAACTGAAGGTCATAGAAATTTTTAAGTGATAATCTTAAAATACCATATAAAATATGTAAACAAAAGATGCTTTAGTGTTAGAGGGTATTATAAAATCCATAATGTGGACTAAGGCAAAAACCATCTCTTGTGCATTTTAAAAGATTGTTAGCATAATCCTAGAAAGTTCGAAATTGCATTTTCAGTCAGCAGCAAAAGGTACTGGATGCACCACTGCACTTCCTAGCACGAAGGGTAACTGCAGATGTGCTGTGTATCTTCACAGGGACTTCGGGATATACATATGAAAAATGACTTTGTAACAAATCTCATCTGGGAGATGCACTAGCATTAAAACATTCATACTCCTCTTTTATCTACCCTGTCACAGAGGAAAACTACCTTAAAGGATAGTATAAACAATACAAATTCTGATAGTAAAGCACTGTAAAAATTAGGCATGGTATTTTTGGCACAAAGCACTTTTTTAAATCCAAGCTCATTTTGCAAAATATATGTCTAGAATTTTTTATTTGAAAATAAAAACTTTTACCATACACACATGTGTAAAGGGTTTTATGAATGAACAAATTAGATTCTGTTTCCTTAAATACTGCACACGCACTCACTTTTCTTCAGTACCGGATACCTGCATGCATACCTCCTCCTCATTCTGCATTACACAGATATTGCACAAGTAACATCGCCAAACACACAAGTGCAGTCTGGCAAGATTTAGGGTTTATCTTTCTATATTTTTTGTAAGTATTCAGTTTCAATACTATCTTCCAAAAAAGTTCTCTGACCAATTTCAGAAAAATAATGCTTGCTGTCTTTCCTTGATCTATAGTATTAAAATTTGTACCTACATATTTAGGCATTTCATTTGTTTTCCAGCATTTAAAATTCAGCTAGACCTGTTTTTGACATTTCTTACAGCATTCCTTCAAAAACAGGAGAAGCTTCGTCTAATGTAAAAAAAATTTTTAAATGAGTCCAACAGGGCAGTAATTTTCCACCAAAGATCTCACTCCATTCTGAAAAACACTGTAGAACATTTAGTCTGTCAACTTTCAGAAAGCCATCAGGTGCAAAGTCTTCAAAAAAAACTTAAGACATACCAGGGCAGCCGGATTGGATTCCTTATTGAATTGCACAATATAATTTTTTTTCTCCCTAAAACACTTTAGGGTATGCTACAACCGCTAAATGGATTTCTGTTTTTCTTGGTCCTCTGTTTGTTGGGTCTAAGATTGATGACATCTCCACCATTAAGTGTACTTGAATTCTGACCCAAGTGACTTCCACCAGACGTATTAAAGACACCTGTATAAATTGAGGAAAAACACAGAGGTTACCTCACGGTACCTGTGCAGCTTGTGCATTTAGCTACTTAGTAAACCAGTAATATTTGCACATATTTACAACTTTAAGCTTTTGTTTTCATTTCACTTATTTTTAATAGCCAGTAGACACAATTCAAATTTCAAGGCACAAAAGGGGACACAGTTAACTAGCATGTCATCCATTTATTTCCCCATGTATTCAGCTGTTATGCATATGTAGGCAGAAATGCATTTATAGACTTTTTCTCCTTTTTTTATCCAGATGGTGACATATTCTATACTTGTTCTGCATCATTTCACTATTTCTGAAATATAGTCAGTAAATTCTATAATTTAAAAACTTAATTCATTAATCTTTTATCATCTAATTTCCTTATAGTGCCTGGTTTGTGGTTAACAACAGTAATTTGTGAGATTTTATGCTCCTAAACACACTCCATTTGTAGAAGTTGTTAGTAATGGAAGACTTTATAATCTTGGCTTTAAATAACAACAAAATTATATGTATAAACAAAGTGGACATATAATCGAAGTGACGAGTAGACAAAAGGGATGAGTTACAGAAAAACTTCACTATTATAGTTTACATTTTGCACTGTACTCTTCATAAAATGTAATCTCCAATACATTTAGCCTCCATGATATACAAAATTCCAGGCCGGAGGCACTATCAACAATACAAAGATGACTTAGACCAATTTCAGTTCATAGGAAGTTTACAATCTAATAAACAGGTGAGGTAATATACAAGTAAGTAATGCTATAAGTCACTATAGATCAAGTATTATGAGACACAAGATCCCACAGATGATTCAAAGGTAGACTGATAACATCCAATTCATAAAGGGCACGCTACACGAAGAAGGTGGAACTAGACACCTGGCGATCTCGTGCTCTTAACTGCTGTTTACTTAGAAGGAAAACATGGAGGCCATAGCTAGCTTCCGCCAGAAATATAACTGAGAACAGCCCTAACTTGAGGAATGAACAGTTCTTTGACAGAGATGGGGAAGGAGAAGAGCCAAAATGAGCAAAGGTGAAGAAGAGTGGGCATGCTCAAGAAAGATCAAGACTCCTGACAGAACCAGCAGGTGGGGCCCATAATAGTGGAGCATAAACTGCTTAAGAAGGATGTACAAAGCTGTTTTTAAATACATAGCCTGCATTTGATTTGTTTCATAATGAGAATCTATCACAGGGCTTTAATCAGTGAACTAAAGGAGATAAGAGGGAAACCACAAAGTCAGGCAGCAGCTTATTCTAAATTGTTTCACAAAGCATTTGAGATGTCTGACAGTAGGAACATATACAATAAAAATAAGTCAGAACCAAGAAAAATGTAAAATAAAGGAAGTGAAGAAAATGATGTGTTTTTGTGTATGTAGTGAGAGGGATGGAACACAGATACAGCATCCTTAAGAGACTAGATATAGGCTTTAAAAATAGAAAATTTGATTCTCATCCTCCTGGAAGTCAAAGCAAAGAGATACAATCAATTACTGCTAAAGAGACAACATACGTGTACATTAAAGGATGTTTAACTTTTCTAATATTTAGCAATGAAAGAACAACAAAATTGTAACATAATAATGTATTAAGAAAGAGAAAGGTATTAAGATGGTACAAGCATAGAGTCGAGGGACACATTTGTTAAAACCTCTGTAATATAAAAGGCATAGCTAAATAAGAAGTTTCATCTGTGTCTTAATATAACAAATAGATTTAGAAAATTCAATAGTTTTAAAAATTTGTTAACACACTTTTTAATTAGAGACCTGATTCTTCTTCAACAATAATCACTGAACTAACAAGTAGTCACATTTCTTAAAAAAAGGAACATTTTTATTTTTAAAAGTAAGCATGATTATAATGAGTAAAAATAAACAATACCAAGTAAACATGGGGCTAAAGTTTCCTGGGTACTTACCAATTTTGTTACTATTTGAATGCATTAGTTCTGGATCCTCAGCTATCTGCTGTTTGAGTTTTTGAAGGTATTTTTCAGCCAAATATTTAAAAACTAGAATTACAAAAAAGCAACCTTACCAGGTCAGTATAATTTATGCATGTAAAATCTGTTATTTCACATCACTTACTACAATACACATTTATTAAAAATATATCAAATTAAATTAGAATCAGAAATACACAATCTAGTTTAAAAACTTCAACTTTTAAAAAGTATGTGTCCATTACCTGAGAATCACAAAGGTAATATTAATAAGTACATAATGGTATTTTATTAGTAAAGAGATAATACTTATTAGTATTTACTTATTACTTATTAGTAATACTCATTTACTTATTAGTAAATGAGATAATACTTGTGAGATAATACTTGTAGCCATTGGATTTTTAGTTTTATGCACTGATTAATATTCAGCAACAACATATTCAATCTTGAAGTCTCCTTTAAGGGAGGAAAAAAAAAACCAAACCTATCCAGAAGACACTTGAGCAACATTCAAATTGCAATGTATATAATAAGTACAATTCTGAAATTATAAACTTCCTTAATCTCATTTTCTTAAACTGAAAATTATTATTAACTAAATCATCATAACTACCTAATCTATTACCACAGAACACTAAAATTGTGATTTTTAAAGGTATGCAGGAAAAACACGAAAGCATACACACACATGCACATAGTTTTTAGGATTAGGGAAAAAAAAAACAAACGAACAAACTCCTGTGAGCTTTCCTGTAGAGAATAACAAGTATTCAAAAATAGTGAGTAAGGACTTTAACCTTCAAGCATCATCACTTCAAATTTATGTAATAATGACAATAATAACAGTGACAAAAAGAAAAGTCTGAAAAGTCTGTTCTCATTACAAATACAATTTTTAAAGAGAAAAAAATGTAAACAGAATAAAGCAAACTTCCTATTCCTAAACTTAAAAAATAAAATTTACCTTCATTCACATTTAGATCTTCTTTCACTGATGTTCTGTAGAATCTTAGCTTTAACTTTTTTGCCAGTGCCTCAGCTTCCTCACTAAGCATCAAATAAAAAAGGAATAGGCTTATAAAAGTATTTCTGATAACTTTTTTTTACAATTGTTTTTAATTGTAGTTACATGTGACAGTGTTTACTTATTGTGGTAGTCAGTTAGCAATATAAACATATCATTCATTATATATACATTGAAAACCAAGACAGTGGTCTTTTGGTTACTTCAATTTTAAAATAACAATAAATTAATCAAATAATGCAAACAAAATAAAGATCACTTTTAATTAATTTACTGGATACAATTTGGTAGGGGGGGTCGGGGGAGGTGTAGCAAATCTTCCAGGTCAGTTGAAAACTATATTCTCAGTGTTTAAGTGGAATATTTAGTTTTCACTACTGAGATAATAACTAGCAGCTATTATACTATAACTGTACACAGATACTTTTCTATAAAGTTACTAAATTCTGGTCTCAAGATGACTAAATATTTATACTTTTAATTTTCCATCATGATTTTACAAAAATTTAATCTAATTAGATGCTGCAATCTCATACTACATCATTTACTTTACTCTTAACTAGCTATGAAACTGTCCTGCAGCCAAAGCAAGGGTCAGTATATTAATAACTGTCTATAAGACAGCTCCTAATTTTAGTGTTATCAGAATTCCTGATTGTGGACTCCTGATTTTCATTTTATTAAGATTATAATAGAGATACTCCAGAATGGTTCCCAACTCATCCTGGTCTTCACACCTATGTGTAGTCTCCTCCCATGCTGTAATAAAGATTGGTTTGTGTGATCACATTATACAGAAGTGAGAGTCTATGATTTCTAAGACGAGGTCATAAGAGGCATTCTGCTTTACTTTCTCTTAGATCACTTGCTGGGGGAAGTTAATAGCCATGCTTTTAAAATTCTCATGTAGTTTTAGGTGGGAGAGACCCAAAGGGCAAAACTCTAAGGCTTCTGCCAACAGATGAGTGAGCCATCCTAGATGTAAATCCTTTGCTCCAGTTAGACCTTTATGTGACTTCAGATCTAGATGACATCTTGACTGTAACCTCAGGAAAGAAAAACTTCAAACCAGAACTACCTTGCTAAGGCACTCCCAAATTTCCAAGGCCACTAAAACTCTGAAAAAATAAAATAGCTGTGGGGTTTAAGTCCAAGTTTTGGGTTGATGAGTTACACAGCAACAGACAACTAGTATAAAGGCATATTTCAAACATAATGTAAAATCAAGCAAAGATTTTTAAAGGTAGCAAGAAATATTAATAGTGCAATGAATACTTGTATACAAAAAACAAGTATCTGGAAGTTCAGCTAGTTCACATATTTGACTTAGTTTTGAATATATAAAACAATGTAAGTCTGAACTTATTTATTTAAATTAATCACCATAGGGTAGCTACTTACTCTTGATGTTAAAACATCTAAGGATGTTTCTCTTAACATTCAGTATATGTCAATTTGAACCTAACATTAAAGGTTGGATTTGTGGTGCAAGATCTTAAGATTAGAATTCTAAAAGAGCCTTCAAAATTTCTTTCTTGTTCTCTTCTTACAGTTCAAAAATACAGAATAGCTCTCAGAAATATTAAGTATAGGCAGTCCTTATAAAAACCTTTCCGTAATTTTGTTAGGTCCATGCAAAAATTAAAATAGGTTTTAACTTTTCAGAATTACCACCACCTCTTCAAAAGTAGCCATCTTACTTCTTTATACAAGAATCATCCAAGAGATCAATCTTATTTTGTACAAGTACAGTTGGTATATCTCCAACTTCAGCTACTACTTTCTCTCTCCAACTGGAAATTGCTTCAAAAGATTCCCTGTCTGTGGTAGAAAATACAAGCACACAAGCCTGGGCTCCTGTAGGTCACAAAATAAAAATGTTATTTACATTAATGAAACAATATTATGCAAGCTGAGGGCAACTTTTACTTTTATACAAAACAACTTTTATGTAATTATTAACCTCATCTTTGCAGCACTCAGCTTCTTATTGAACATATAAACTATTTTTTAATTCAAAGAACCAATTTTTATCGATAACAGTTCTCAAACTGACTCATATGAAGGTGCCCTAAAAACTATGTACTTTTTCAGAACATCATGGAATACTGACAAGAAAATTTACATTGTAAGAGGTAGGGGGAATAAAGTAAACATGAAAGACAGGCTTTTGTCAAGTTCTTTTAATATTTGTCATTTGCTTCTAAATTTCTTTCAACATAAATTTAAGAAAAATGTGAGAAAAACAGTATTTTCTCACTTTATTCACTTTTTTAGAAAATCTAAATAATTTAATTTTAGTAGAATGCTAGTGATAACATAATTTGAGAATGAGTATAATAAAATATTTATCATATAACATATATATGTAAAATAGTGAATAAAATTTAACTTAGTTTTTTATCCTGTTTTGCTGTACAATTCTCACACTATTCTTTTAGCTATCAATTGTCAGATTAGGTTGATAATATCGAAGCAACAGCCATCTGGAAAAAGCTTTTTTACAAACAAGCAGCTATCAAATCAGGCAGCATCATGACAAAAGCAGGTGTTACACAAGTAGGGAAAAATCACTGAGAATTCCCTGGACTCTATCCATGTCAGCAATAATTTCTCCTTCCTTTCAGATCCCTCAGGTACAAAAGTTCTTACTAAGACTCCAGATATGCACACCTCCAGATAGACATTCTAAGGTCAAAAAGGTTATTAGTATATCACCAAAGATAATGCCAGTGAAAGCAAAAGAGTTCCAATGAAAGAAAAAAGCAACAGGTTATTATTACTGCAAAAGAGAAGCCTCACCTAGGAAAATCTTCCCTACTCTTATACAGGTTTTAAACCTAATAATAAATGAATTAAATTCATTTATTATTAGGGGGGGGT